CCCACAATGAGAAATCACTACATAGCTACTATTCAAAAAACTGACAATATCAGCAATGACAAGGCTGTGGAACAAGTCCCATACATAATGGTGAGGATGCAAAATGGTAAAGCTACTTTGGACAATAGGTTGGCATTTTCTTACAAAGATAAGCATACACTTACTATACTTTCTAGCATTCACAATACTAGATATTTATCCAACAGAAATAAATAAATAAAAATATATGTGTGTGTGTGTGTGTGTGTGTGTGTGTGTGTGTGTGTGTGTGTATATATCCCTATAAAGATCTTTATGCTTCATTCATACTCTCCAAAAACTGTAAACAATCTGAATGTGCACCAACAAGTCAATGGATAAAATGTGGTACATTCATACTATGGAATACTAGTCAACAACATGAAAGAACAAACTACTGCTACATGCAACATAGGTGAATCCCAAAAGCACTATATTAAGTGAAAAATCAGAAGAAACAAAGGACTATACTTTTTTAAATTTTATGATAGTCTGGAAAATACAAAACTATAGGGATAAAAAGCAGACTAGTGGCCAGGCGCGGTAGCTCACACCTATAATTCCAGCACTTTTGAAGGCCAAGGCAGGTGGATGATCTGAGGTCAGAAGTTCAAGACCAGCCTGGCCAACATGGGAAAACCCTGTCTCTACTAAAAATACAAAAATTAGCCAGATATGGTGGTACACGCCTATAATCCCAGCTACCTGGGAGGCTGAAACAGCAGAATCGCTTGAACCTGGAAGGCAGGGGTTGCAGTGAGCCGAGATCGTGCCACTGCACTCCAGCCTGCGCAACCGCGTGAGACTCTTATCTAAAAAAAAAAAAGCAGAATAGTGATTGTGGTTACCAAGGGCTGTGTGTAGGGAAAGAAATTGGCTAGAAGAAAAAAAAAAAAATGTTGAAAGCATTTCTAGAAATGGGCCACAGGCCAGATGAAAGATTTTTTTCCCCTCAAAGTACTGAGATTACAAGTATGAGCCACCATACCCAGTCAGGACTATTTTAAATTAGCCTTTCAATAAGTGGGAATATATGCTTTTTTATAGTAACCTGAAGAAATTTTTTTTTTTTTTTTGAGACGAAGTTTCGCTCTTGTTGCCCAGGCTGGAGGGCAGTGGCGCCATCTCAGCTCACCACAACCTCCGCCTCCCGGGCTCAAGTGATTCTCCTCCCTCAGCCTCCTGAGTAGCTGGGATTACAGGCATGCACCACAATGCCCAGCTAATTTTGATTTTTAGTAGAGACGGCGTTTCTCCATGTCAATCAGGTTGGTCTCAAACTCCCAACCACAGGTGATCTGCCCATCTCGGCCTCCTGGGGTTACAGGATTGAGCCACTGCGCCCTGCCGAAATTTTTATTTGATTTTGCCATTGCACTCTATCGCCCAGGCCAGAGTGCAACGGCACAATCTCAGCTCACTGCAATCAATGAATCCTGGGTTCAAGAGATCTTCCTGCCTCAGCCTCCCCAGTAGCTGGGACTATATGTGTGTGCCACCACTCCTGGCTAATTTTTGTATTTTTAGTAGAGATGGGGTTTCACCATGTTGGCCAGGCTGGTCCTGAACTCCTGACCTCAGGTGATCCACCTGCCTGATACTCTCAAAGTGCTGAGATTACAGGTATGAGCCACCACGCCCAACCCTGAAGAAGTTTTAAGGACCAAGAATCCTCAAAAGGGTTAAAGTTTGAAGGATCAGGTTTAAAATAGGTTGAGTAATTGAGGAAGAGGGGAAAGAGAAAATACACAGTAACATGATTATTTATGAAAGTTTTACAAAACAGAAAAACATCATGGAATGCTATCTGAGCCTCAAACAACTACAGATTGTCTGTTTATAAGACTCTGTTTTTTAGAGAAGTTTTAGGTTCAAAGGAAATTTGAGTAGAAAGTACAAATTGTTTTTTAAATGAGCAATTACCTCTAAGATGAGATTAAGGTTTGTAGTGAGAGCCTGAACACGTTGAAAACCAGCAATCAGGGAAATAGGCAAGAAACCTTGTTCATCCATCTTTCCCCGAAGAAAGAAGTCTCGTTCCAAATTTTCTATACTGAAGTAATATTCACTGAAAAGAGAAATTAAAAAACATAAACTTCATCCATTTATTAGTAGGAAATAAATATTTCTACTGCTTGCACATTAACTGTGAAAACTAGTCATTAACATAGAAATATTGTAATTTGGTTAACCATAAGTATAGGTCTAATACAACATACATAGGTTAAACATATAAGATAGCAAAAACCCCTTCTGAAATAATAATTTCTCTTATACATGAGTACAAACTTGAAATACTAATTATTTTCCAAAAAGCTACTATTAATTTCTATTTAAATTAGCCTCTTCACTAAATATAGCCTCCTCACTAAATGTAAATAAAGCAGCTCATTTTACTTTAAAATATTTCAAAAATTGATTTTTTAATAAGTTAATTAGGTGAAAATCTTTACAAAGCTACTGCTACTTGTTTTATTTAAACATTAGATAACAAAGCGAATCACATGTTAGCATAATGACTTCCAACTTTTTCCCAATCACTGAAAAGAATGGCATATTGGAAGTATACTTTGTTGAATTTGCATACAGGAAATTAGTTTGTTTTGTTTTCTAAACTGACAAAGAACTGACATGTTTAATACTTCTGAATCTTAGTAACCAGCACAATGTTTACTTAAAAACTTAGTGAACATTCTCAGGTGTAGTGGCTTATGCCTATAATCTCAGCACTTGGGAGCCCAAGACGAGCAGATCACTTGAGGTCAGGAGTTCAAGACCAGCCTGACCAACAAGAAGAAACCCCATCTCTACTAAAAACACAAAATTAGCCAAGCATGGTGGTGCATGCCTGTGATCCCAGCTACTCGGGAGGCTGAGGCAGGAGAATCACTTTAACATTGGAGGCGGAGGTTGCAGTGAGCCAAGATCACGCCATTGCACTCTAGCCTGGGCAGCAAGAGCGAAACGTCATCTCAAAAAAAAAAAAAAACACTACTTAGTGAACATACAGGCATATGTGCACATACACAATTATATATTCTGAATGATTCAAGTTATCCCCTCTTTTTTCTTTGATAGACAATAAGACATTAAGGGTGGCTCACACCTGTAATCCCAGCACCTTTGGCGGCCAAGGCAGGTGGATCTCTTGAAGTCAGGAGTTCTAGACCTACCTGGCCAACATGGGGAAACCCTGTCTCTACTAAAATACAAAAATTAGCTGGGCATGGTGGCTGATGCCTGTAATCCCAGCTACTCAGGAGTCTGAGGCAGGAGAATCACTTGAACCTGGGAGGCAGAGGTTGCAGTGAGCAGGGACCATGTCTCTAAACTCCAGCCTGGGAGACAGAGCAAGACTGTCTAAAAAATAAAAATAAAAGACATTAAAGGAACAGAACATAGCTAAAGAAGGAATATCCTTAACACCATGAGGCACATGGAGGGAAAAATAAAGAAAATGATTCGATGTCTTATCTTCTCTTGAAAAACACAAACCCACTTAATCTTTTCTGAGAGAAATGTAAATGGATGAACTGTCAGTATGATTAATAACTACACATCCCAAGACATAAAGATAACATTCACAATACAATTAATAATATCCTTTGATAAATACATGTTTATGGAAAAGTTAAAAAGAGAAAGAGAAATACATGTTTAAATTATAGCCTCCATAAAAGAGTATGAGGATTTTTAAAGAGACAGAAGAAGACAAATAAGGGGAAATATAAAAAGAATGATATAAAGAAATACATGACATCAATGATGATGAGGCCTACAGTTTAATAATCCCACACTATTTCCAAATCACAGAGAAAGTTTTCAAAAATGGAATATAAGTTATGAGAAAAGAAACTACCTCATATTTTGGGGTATAAAACTCAGTGACTAAAGATGCCCTTGAAGTATGTGGGCCAAATTCTAACTTTGAAAATAAGGCATCTATAACTGAAAACTGGTTTAGAGCTACCTTTCACTTGAAGGGAATAAAATTAATCATCTTATTGAATATAAATATCCAAATTTTCCTTTAACAGTTTGATATTTATCCAATTATCAAAGTGAAAAGCTCACTCAGAGAGTACTGAAATACTATTGACATTCAGTGACACTAGTAAATTATTTACTTTTTTTTGAGATGGAATTTCACTCGTTTCCCAGGCTGGAGTGCAATGGCACCATCTTGGCTCACTGCAACTTTTGCCTCCGGGGTTCAGGTGATTCTCCTGTCTCAGCCTCCTGAGTAGCTTGGACTATAGGTGTGTGCCACCACGCCAGGCTAATTTTTGTATTCTTAGTAGAGACAGGGTTTCACCATGTTGGCCACGCTGGTCTGAACACCTGACCTCAGATGATCCACCCACATTGGCCTCCCAAAGTGCTGGGATTACAGGTGTAAACCACCATGCCCCAGTCTCATTTACTCTTTTTAAACACTGAAGAAAAAAATCTAAGTCTTAAAGAAATGAAAATTCTAGGCCGGGCGTGGTGGCTCAAGCCTGTAATCCCAGCACTTTGGGAGGCCGAGGCGGGTGGATCACGAGGTCAAGAGATCGAGACCATCCTGGTCAACATGGTGAAACCCTGTCTC